TGAAAAATGTTTTGGAGTGACTGAAACATTCTATATCTTAATTGGGGGGTAGCTAACAGGGGGATATATTTTTAAAGTCATGGACCCATACGCTGCAGATGGATTCACTGAACACGCTGAAGCAAAGCTGCTTCCATGTATGGGGAAGTCTGTGAGTGACGGAGACAGTGAGATTGACCTGGAGTCCCTAAACTCAAGATGGGCGTGTTGGGCAAGGCAGGCCCTGGGCACACTTGTGAAATCAGGAGGATTTGCACTTCCACCTCCCTGGAAATCAGTCCAGTCTTCAGCTCTTTCCATCCATGACCTTAGACAATACCAGTTTTGATCTTCCCTAAAAAAACAGATGCCCTGGAGCTTTCATGCAGAGAAATGTGAACATTATTATAACCAGTCTAATGTTTTACGCTGCCTGCGGGTGTTTCTGTCGGGATTACAATCTGAATCTGAGGCTAGAGAAAGGAAACCCAACGAGAGACGGTGGGTGGAGCACCTGTGTGACAGGGGCTCCGGAAGACCCTGCAGGGTAACCCACTCTGGGGGCGGTGTGCCTGGCTGAAAGTCCTCTACCTTGGCCTCCGATCTGCAGAGCTGCAGTGTGTGTGTTCGTCACTCAGTCGTGTCCGACTCTGCGACCCCATGTGCTCGCCAGGCTCCTCTGTCCACGGAATTCTCTAGGCCAGAAAACTGGAGTGGGTTGCCGTTCCCGGCTCCAGGGGATCTTACAGATCATGCATATTCATTCATGGGTTTGTAACCCCAGGCACTGAAAGCCTTCTGAGTTCCCCTGGGCAACTCAACAAACGGATCCCACCCACAGGGAGCTGACTGTCACGTAGGAGATTCCAAGATGGGAACTTGTCGGGAGTCTCCAGGAGGGACCATTGCCCCCGGAAGCCGTGGGCGGCAGGATCCCTGGATGGTTCTCCACACTGTGCTTCAGGCAGAACCAGCGCCCCAGGGGCAGGCACAGGGAAGACTGAAGGAGTGAGCCCGAGATTCTACAGCCGAGGAAACTGGAAATGCGGTTTTCCCATTGTCTGAAAGCTTGATGACGCAAAAGACTTTGTTCAGAGGTATGCTAGATCAATGAATGGCTGTAGGGGAAGGTTCTGTTTTCAGACAGTTGTCTGTGTAATGATACTCATTTCATGACCCTCCGTTATCCCCTTGTTTTGGACCCAAGTTAGATTTTTTTTTTTCCCAGCTGAAGCAGCCTTTTTATTACTTTTATGTACAGAAAACTCAATAGTGTACACTCAGCCCAGCTTGGTGGCCAGTCCTTTGGCCTTAGCCTTTTCCAGCTTGGCGATGCGAGCCACTGACTTCGGCCCCAGGACATTGCCTTCCCAGTGACGACGGATCTCATCGTATCTGTCGTTGTAATTGGTTCTGATGGCTTCCACCAGCTTAGCCAGGGCACTCTTGTCCTCCGAGTTGACTTGTGTGAAGGCTACGGTGGTGCATGTCTTCCTGTGGACCAGGCTCCCCAGCCGGGCCTTACCCTTGATGATGCAGTAGGGAACCCCCATCTTCCGGCACAGGGCAGGCAGGAAGACCACGAGCTCGATGGGATCCACATCGTGAGCGATCACCACCAGCTGAGCCTTCTTGTTCTCCACCAGGGTGGTGACAGTGTTGACCCCTGCTCTAAGGACAGGTGGCCTCTTGGTGGGGACGTCGCCTTTGCCGGCGGCTTTCTTCTCAGCGCGGGCCAGCAGCCTCTGCTTCTTCTCCTGCTTTGTCTCTGGTCTGTACTTGTGGGCCAGCTTAAGCAGTTGAGCAGCTGTTTGTCGGTCCAAGGCCTGGGTGAATTGATTAATTGCAGGAGGCACTTTCAGCCGCTTATAGAGAATAGCTCTTTGCTGCTGCAGCCGGATGTAGCGGGGCCATTTGACAAAGCGGGTGAGGTCCCTCTTGGGTTGGATGTCCTGTCCAATGCCAAAATTCTTGGGCCTCTTCTCGAACAGGGGGTTGACCACCTTCTTGGCCTCCTGCTTCTTCACCACGGCCGGGGCCGGGGCCACCTTCTTCCCCTTGGCCTTCTTTCCCTTCGGCATCTTGAAAGGCTGGCGTAGAGAGCCCAAGTTAGATTTTTAAAAGAAAGAATAAATGTTCGTTTCACAAGTACTTCATAGTGAACTCACATTTGTAACATCTAAAATGTTATTTCCTAGAAGAGAGTGGGAAACGGAACAGAATAGAGGTAAAAAGGCATTTTAAAAAATCTCTTTTTGTAAAAGAGAGCAAGATGACTTCACTTTAATTGACTGGGTTTGGGTCTGTGAAATTATAAGTACTAAATTTTCTTTTTTTAAAGTCAGGTTTAATATATACACTCAATAACTTACATTCAATAAAGTTTGTTCTTTTTTTGTATACAGTCCTATCAGTTCAGTTCAGTTGCTCAGTTGTGTCCGACTCTTTGCAGCCCCATGGACTGCAGCACGCCAGGCTTCCCTGCCCATCAGCAACTCCCAGAGCCTACTCAAACTCATGTCCATCGAGTTGGTGATGCCATCCAACCATCTCATCCTCTGTCATCCCCTTCTCCTCCTGCCCTCAATCTTTCCCAGCATCAGGGTCTTTTCCAATGAGTCAGTTCTTCGAGTCAGGTGGCCAAAGTGTTGGAGTTTCAGCTTCAGCATCAGTCCTTCCAATGAACATTCAGGACTGATCTCCTTTAGGATGGACTGGTTGGATCTCCTTGCAGTCCAAGGGACTCTCAAGAGTCTTCTCCAACACCACAGTTCAAAAGCATCAATTCTTTGGTGCTCAGCTTTCTTTATAGTCCAACTCTCACATCCATACATGACTACTGGAAAAACCGTAGCTTTGACTACACAGACCTTTGTTGGCAAAGTAACATCTCTGCTTTTTAAAATGCTGTCTATGTTGGTCATAACTTTTCTTCCAAGGAGCAAGCATCTCTTAATTTCATGGCTGCAGTCACCATCTGCAGTGATTTTGGAGCCCAGAAAAATAAAGTCTGCCACTGTTTCCACTGTTTCCCCATCTATTTGCCATGAAGTGATGGGACCAGATGTCATGATCTTAGTTTTCTGAATGTTGAGCTTTAAGCCAAGTTTTTCACTCTCCTCTTTCACTTTCATCAAGAGGCTCTTTAGTTCTTCTTCACTTTCTGCCATAAAGGTGGTGTCATCTGCATATCTGAGGTTATTGATATTTCTCCCGGCAGTCTTGACTCCAGCTTGTACAGTTCTATGGATTCTGACAAATGAATACAGTCATTGAGACACCACCAGAATCAAGATAGCAAATATTTCCACTACCCCCAAAAGTTTCCTAATGCCCCTTTGAAGTCACAAGATATAACATTTTGGAGGTGAACCAAAATTCCACTCGAGGTGTCTCAGTTGGGAAGCCAGATTGTTTTTCGCCTAGAAGGAGGCTGTTTGCAGAAATCAGATGTGCACCAAGGCACTAGTTTGTTTTTATAGCTTGTTTTTGTTGCTGTTTCTTCCTATCTGTTATCTCTGCTGTTCTTCCCAAGTAGTCTGTTGGCATAAGTGATTTTAGCTGGGTAAGATTGGGTTTTTTTGCTTTGCAAATTTACTTTAGATTTAAATAAGAATTAGATTGAATTACAATGGGACCAAAAAGCACTCACTTAACTCAGAGCCTAATTCTAAAACAACAAAACATTGTTGACTAAGAAGGAAAAAAGAGATGGGTGGGTACCTAATTTGTAGACACAGGCTTCTGACTGCTCAGTAGCATCAGACTCTTTGTGAGGCCATGGACTGCAGCCCACCAGGCTCCTCTGTCCGTAACATACTTCAGGGAAGAATACTAGAGCGGGTTGCTATTTCCTACCCCAGGGAGGTGATCTTCCCGACCCAGGGATCGATCTATCCCTCATGTCCTGGGTCTCCTGCATTGGTAGGCAGAGTCTTTGTCTCTGAACCACCAGGGAAGCACAGACCAGCTGCTAGAATTTACTTAATTCTTGCACGGGGAGGCAGGCAGGGTGACTGTTGCCAGGTTGGGGGAAGAGGGGACAGGTCACCCTCTTGGGTGCCCACTGCCTTCCCAGGAATTCTCACCATTAGCGCCGCAGAAACTCTCCAGGAACAAAATCATACTGGAGCAAACAAACGCAGGAGGATACAAATGTACTTGAAACAAATACTGTCACCCAGAGTTACACCACCACCTACAGACACGTGAGTGAGGATGCAGATTCTCCTGGAATTGTCATCTCGTCAAAGATCATTTATTTTAGAATACCGCCAACTGTCAGGGTCCTTGGTAGTACTGAATACAATTCTCTTTGGCTTCTGCGAAAAGGCAAGTCTGATCTTTCATCTGGGGATGTGTGAAGGTCTGAGGTGCTGAGAGCCAGTTAAAACATTGCTTTGTCATGCATGCTCTGTTGTCTGTCGAGGCTGACGTGCATGGATGCCTTTGGCAGGGGGAAGACCTGCCTGTCTAGACGACCTAGGTCTCTCCTTTAAATTTAGCAAGATGCCTAGAAATGGTTCATCCTGAGTGATCAGTGGAAATCAAGATGAAGAAGAAACAGTGTTACGAGGCTCTTGCCCGGGCGTTTGGAAAATGCTTTTGTATCAGAGTGACTTGATAGTAAGCCTCAGAACACCCACCTGAAAATGGTTTAAATTTAGCGTTCTTGTTAAGTCACCTCAGTCGTGTCCGACTCGGTGTGACCCATGGACTGCAGCCCGCCAGGCTCCGCTGTCCTTGGGATCCTTTGGGCAAGAAGACTGGAGTGGGTTGCCATGCCCTCCTTCAGGGCATCTTCCCAACCCAGGGATGGAACCCAGGCCTCTTAAGTCTCCTGCGCTGGCCGGGGGTTTCTTTACCTGTAGCGCCACCTCGTGGCGGCTGTTATCTCACCGGGTAAGAACCCCATGGGTCCCTGCGTCCAAGATGGGTTAACCGGCAGCTCTTCCAGGACCGAGACTGTTAAGTGCAGACTCCCTTTCAAGCCCACTTTCCCTCTCAGATCCCTCGTCACCATGTCTGAGTACTCTGAGAAAAGCAGAGAAGGAGCCGGTTGTTGTTGTGAAGGTAAAGCTCAATCTGGGATGCGAGTGGTCCTCTCATGTATGAGAGGAAATAATCCAAATGCCCGGGTAACAAAGCATCACACTGGCCCCCGAGACAAGAAATGGACTCTGATCAGTGGAGTGAACTTCAGGTGACATTCACTCACTACATGCCAAGCACTGTTCTGAATGTATTAGCTATATAATCTCGCTTTTGTTTCGTTACTTTTTTAATGATTTTTCTACTTATTTATTAATTTGGCCACGCTATGCAGGATCTTAGTTCCTTGACCAGGGATCGAACCTGTGCCCCTTGCCAGGGAAGCATGGACCTTAACCACTGGACCACCAGGGAAGTCCCTTATATTATCTAGCTTTTAAACAACATATTGAAGTGGGTACTATTATCACCCCTGTTATACAGATGAGAGGATGAGGCGGACAACATAAGTGACTGTTCAAGGCCACACAGACTATGCCTGCTTCACAGTCTGCATTTTTAACAAGAATGCTTTGGGGTGAAGGTCGTGGACTAAGAGACGGGCACACCAGTGCGGCCAGTTACCCTCTTCTCCAAAGCCAAGCTCCATCTCCCACAGAATTAAAACCTCAGGAGAAGCCAGACCACTGTTTTCCTAGCTGGTTCACACTTAACATATCTGATTAACTCTCAGTCCTTTTCTGATTCTAAATGTGAGTGTGTGTATGTATTGGGAGTAATTGATTGGGGAGGGTTACCTAGACAGCATTTTAAAAAGCAGAGACATCACGTCACTGACAAAGGTCTGTAGAGTCAAAGCTATGGTTTCTCCAGTGGTCATGTATGGATGTGAGAGTTGGACTATAAAGAAAGTTGAGCACCGAACAACTGATGCTTTCGAATGTTGGTCCTGGAGAAGACTTGAGAATTCCTTGGACAGCGAGGAGATCAAACCAGTCAATCCAAAGGAAATCAACCCTGAATCTTTATTGGAAGGACTGATGCTGAAGCTGAAGCTCCAATACTTTGACCACCTGAGGCGAAGAGCTGACTCACAGGAAAAGACCCTGATGCTGGGAAAGATTGAAGGCGGGAGGAGAAGGGGATGACAGAGGATGAGATGGTTGGATGGCATCACCGACTTGATGGACTTGCGTTTGAGCAAACTATGGGAGAGTAAAGGTCAGGGAAGCCTGGCGTGCTGTGGTCCATGGGGTTGCAGAGTCAAACATGACTGAGCGACTGAACAACAACAAAAAAACCTATTTATAAGGCAGGAATTGTACTCATTCATCTGTTCTTTAAATGTATCGTTGACTTGGAAAACAGGACGCAGCCCCCAGACAGCTCAAGCTACCTTTTAGTTTCCTTTTTATGAAATAAAATGGTTGCTTTATGGCCTGGTTCCCCTTGTCTTTATTTTTATTTTTTCTCTAGAGCATTATTTATTTGAATCTTAAAGAAGCATCAAAGGGAACAATCAACCAAAATATGCTTTCAGAAAATGGGAACTGCAGTTCTGTGAGTAGCATTACCCATTTTCTTTTCTATTTCCCTGCTGCTCACTTTATCTTTCTCAGTCTGTTTCTTTGGTCTCAGAACAAGTGTCTTGGCAGAAATTGTTTGCCCAGGTTTTCAGTTCCCTTCTAGAAATCAATTTTTGTGTCTTTAGATTGTTGCTATGTGTAGTGTATCAAAAAAATGACTAGACAGTGCTTCGAAGTTACCTGTGCGTGCCAGGGACTAAAATGAGTATTTTTAAGTGATTTGAGGAGCACTTGTATTCTGAAATAGGTGGAAAGAAAGTGGTTAACCGAAGAGAGGCAGATGAGGTGGTGTAAGGCTGCAGACCCGCAGCCGCGCCCCCTGCTGTCAAGACCCAAAAGTCAACCTCAGAGGCGGAGGACTGCTCAGTACAGATTTCCTCTCAGGGGATCTTTTACAGGCGGCACTAGCTGAGGACACCTTCGTCTGTGGAATCTCTGCACTTCTAGAGGCAAGGCCGTTGTTAGCTGGAGGCCAGGAGATGGCGCTGTGAGCCCAACAGAGAGAACCGGCTCTCCGCTCGCTGGTAACCATGCACATGCGTTAGTCGCCCGGTCGTGTTTGGCGCTCTGCGGCCCCCGTGGACCGTAGCCCGTCAGGCGCCTCTGTCCGGGGGATTCTCCCAGCAGGAATATTCGAGTGGGCTGCCATGCCCTCCGCCAGCGGATCTTCCCAACCCGGGGATCGAACCTGGGTCTCCTGCACTGCAGGTAGATTCCTTACCACCGCAGCCACCAGGGGAGCCCAGAAGATAAAAGGGCCGCCGCTTTTCAGACTGGCTTCCTCGTGGCCTCCGGCTTCCTCACACCCCAAAGGAAGGTCCGCGCCGGAGTGTGGAAGACTCCTTGCCTTCCTCAACCTCTGGGGGCTCGGCCCCCAGACACACGTGATATAAAACTGCCCGGGGAAGGCTGGACCGGCCCGTGAGGCTCTAGTTTTGCTGAAGAGCGAATCTTGCAGGGGTTGGGAGGACGCGGGAGGTGACTTAGGAAGGCTTTCTGGAACGCTGTGACTGTCACAAGAAATAGGGCATAAACGACGAGGTCGGGTGTGGGCGAAGAAGAGAAAAACAGGTGAACGCAAAGCAAACAGCAAACAGGAGTTAGTGGCGGCGTGCATCCTGGAGCAGCCCCAGGGAGCCCCTCAACCTCCGCCCTCTGCCGTGAACGCCTTTCATCCCGCGGTGTCCCGTGCGGAGCAAGTCCGATCGCTTTGGCGGTGGGCTCGCTCCGTGGAAAGCTCTCCTCCGGACAAAGTCAGCCTCAGTCTTTTGATCGCGCTGTCTGCATCACGGTTTCCTTCTCGCCTGTGACCTGTGTTAGGACCCCTGCGCTCCCTCGCGTTCCTGAGGTCGGCTGCAGAGAGCCCGGTGACGGGGACACAGCTGCGCCAGCCCCCGAGGGCGCCAGCTCTCGGTCGGCTGCACGCGCGTCTCATCCTTGGTGAGTCACGTGTGGAGGACGTTTACTCACAAGAGAGTTCCCCTCTTCTCCAAGCATGTTTGCAGTGTCAGCCTCGTTTCAGCCTGCATCCTCCCACCCTGGCCAATCAGCCTGCTCATCGAGAGTCAGGTAATTAAGCATGCCTTGCCTGAAGGTAACAGGAGGCTGGTTAGAAACAGGCCGGGCTGGACCCGGGATCAGATCCGCTGGATCAGAATTTCCAGCGTTGGGGCCTGTCATCTGCACGTTCGGTCCCCACGTGATTCTTATCATCAAGAAGCAGGCTCAGAGAGAACAAACTATCCTGGCAGTTCCCAGTGGGAACAGGGGAGGCGGGGCAAGTAGCGGGAGCGGGCAGGAGGCACACACTGTTACTCATACGTGTAAACTCAGCCGCAGCATACAGTGTACAAGACAGGGCACACAGTCAATATACTATAATGACCAAACGCTTGTTCAGTCCCTAAGCCGCGTCTGACGCTTCCCAACCCCGTGAACTGCAGCAGGACGCCAGACTTCCCTGTCCTTCGCTATCTCCGGGAGCTTGCTCAAACTCATGTCCATTGCGTCAGCGATCCAACCATCTCATCCCCTGTCGTCCCCTTCTCCTCCTGCCTTCCATCTTTCCCAGCATCAGGGTCTTTCATTTAGTTGGTCAGTAACTAAATGGGGTGTAACCTTTAGAAGTGGTGAGTCACCATACTATGACCCTGTAACATATAGTATCATACATCCAGTGTAGTAATAGTAGCGTAGTAGTAGTGTTAGTTGCTCAGCCATGTCCGCCTCTTTGTGACCCCATGGACTGTAGCCCACCAGGCTCCTCTGTCCATGGGAGTCTCCAGGCAAGAATACTGGAGTCGGTGGCCATTTCCTTACTCCGGGGGATCTTCCTGACCCAGTGATCAAACCTGGGTCTCCTGCATTGCAGGCAGATTCTTTACCATCGAAGCCACCGGGGAAGCCCTGTACTTCAATTTTTTTTTTTAAGCAGGAGCTTAGGAAACAGGACCCAAGAAATTGTCTTAGTTCAAGAGTTTATTGTCTCTAGCACACGGCTAGAGACAGATATCTGAGGCTTTCTGGAGCGCGGAATCTCCATTACACGTGCTCTGTCATACTGAGAAGGTAAACGAAAGGGCATGGCTGTGTTTCGGTAAAACTTCACAGAAACAGGCTGAGACGGGAAGTCTGCTGACCGCGGGGCCATGTGACAGGTGGGACACCGAGGAGCAGGGGCGTGAGGCGCCTTGCTGAAGCTGCGGTTAATCAGTGGCCCAGCCCGGCCAAGGCGACGGGCCCCAGAACAAGGATCCCTTCATCGCGCTGCTGCTGACGCGGGTCCTTAGACTCTTCGATCAGTAGGAGGCGGTAAGAGGCCAGATGAGAATTCAAGCAAGGCTTTGCTGGGGCTAGTGCTACAGCCCAGGGGAGTGAAAGCCAGAAACGGGGGACACTGCTCGCTCTCTGAGGGGTCGGGCGGGCTCCTTAAAGGGGTGAGCGTGGAGGCAGATAGGGGCTCTGGCAGCAGGGTGGCTGAGGTGGGCGCTGGTCCCTTGGGGACGCTGCATGCAGGGATCAGGCTTGGTGCCCTGCTTCCCCTCCGGGCACCTCAGAAGTGGTAGTTAGCTTGGGGTCTTTTTGTATCTTGCGTGGGTGCATGCTCAGTCGCTTCAGTCATGCACGACCCTTCACACCCCCATGGACTGTAGCCTGCCGGGCTCCTCTGTTCATGGAATTCTCTTCAGGCAAGAACACTGGGACTGCCATGCCCTCCTTGAGGGGATCTTCCCGACTCGGGAATCGCACCCATGTCGCTTAAGTCTACTGCACTGTCAGGCGGGTTCTTTACCACCGGCGCCTCCCGGGAAGCTTTTTAGCATCTTAGTGTTTATAATGGCCCTGACTGCCCAAGCCTGCAGCTGGTTTGAGTCCCTTATCATTCTTTTGCTTTCTGTTGCTTGAGAAGACCTCTGTCCACTGAAGTCAAGAGTCCCAGGTCCCCGCTTATCGCAACCCCACCCTGTGCTTCCCTCCCAAGTCGAATGTGGGTCCACTGTGGTTGTACTCACTACTTCAGGAGGAACTTCTGCCACGTCACTTGTGCCAGAGACAGTCGTGATGAGGGGACGTTTGCATTCTCTAAAGAAAGAAGATCTTAGCATCCCCTTTCTCTGGTGGGTGGATTTTTTAAAAAAAGAAAAGGAAATAGAAAACTAAAGTATTGAGTGGTTAAATTAAACAAAACTTAGGAATTTTCTGTATCTGCTAAAATTTTCAAAGCTCCAATTGGCTAACTAGATAAATAAATGTTCTTTTAAACTCACTTGTGACCAAGCCTTGAATCACCTTGAGGGGGCATTGGGTTCTGTAGACATGCCCAGACCCTCTGAACAACCTTCCCAGAAAGAAGTGCCCTCCTTACGGCCAATTTCCTCCTTCCCCGCCTCTCATGGCGGTGGGGAGCATCTGGTTGCCATTTTCTTTGGACCTCTGAAGAACCGTCATTAAATTGCCACATAGTTCATTTCCTGGCAAAGTGGCCAATTCTCTCAGACTGTCCTCAGAAAACTTGTCCTGTAATCCTGAAATCATTTTTACGGGATAGGAGCCTTCTTTCTCTGAGTCGTCCACACTCAGACTGCGTGGATTTTGACCAGGTTTGATTTGCTGGAGAGTTGTGAGCTCTAAAGGAAGAACTTCTAGAAGAGGAGATCGTGTTTCCCTCTGCTTGCAGGCCAGGGCCCACAGTTACTTCCCGGGGCATCCCTTATGGGGTGAGCCACGACCTGAGCTTACCGTGGGGGAACCAGGGAGCCGGGGTCCTGTCCACTTGAAGGAGAGTCATCGCTCCCTCTCAACCATCAGAAGCTCCTGTCCTTCGCCTCCAGTGAGGGCAGGGAGCGTTTGTTTTTGTGTGTGTGTATGCGATGGTGTTTTTTTTTGGTACCCATAAAAAATTTGCCTGGAATACCTAAACAGTCAGGCATTTTTGGAGCTCTTGTAGAATTAATTGTTGTGCTGGAATTTAGGAAATTTTTAGAAATGGAAAACAATGTAGCAATCACTGCTTCAAAAAACAGAGCATTTGGCGTTCAAATGACCCTGGTCTTCTGCCCTTTTCAACTTTCTCATATTCAGGGTACTTTCAGTAGCCTGCCATGGTTGGTGCTTTTATTTTTTCTTTTCATCCAACTTTTATTTGGACAAATTTTAAACCTACTGAAAAATTGAACACAAATCTAGATTCAGCAGTTGTTAACGTGCAACCACATTTGCTTTATTGCTCCATCCACCTTCACTGACACCCCCACCCCACCCCCCCAACACACACACGTTAGCTCTTCTGTGTTCAGTTTTGTCTGACTCTTTGCAACCCCATGGACTGTAGCCCGCCAGGCTCCTCTGTCCATGGGATTCTCCAGGCAAGAATACTGGAGTGGCTTGCCATTTCTTTCTCCAGGGGATCTTCCTGACCCAGGGATCGAACCCAGGCCTCCTGCGCCTCCTACATTGGCAGATGCATTCTTTACCACACTTTCTTATTTCAGCTGTAACATTTGAAAGTGAGTTGCTGGCATCATAGCACTTTACCCCCTAATTATTCAGCCTGTGACTCCTGAGCGTAACGCAGCCTGCTACATAAATGTTACATGAATGTTGTTCCTAAGAAAATTAACATTAATTCCTTAACATTATCTAATATACAATCCATATTAAGATTTCCCCAATTGTCCCAAAATACCTCTGCATAGCCATTCTATTTTCTGACCCAGGATTCAGTCTAGGTTCATGCTGTACTCCTGTCTTTATCCTCCAGAATCTCTTCTAATCAAGAACAGGCCTCTCATTTCTTTTTTTTTCATGATGTTGACATTTTGAAGCATCCAGATCAATTGGTTTTAGAGAATGTCCTCTATTCTGAAACTGTCTGCTTGTTTTCTTATGATTAGATCTGAGCTAAATACTCTTGCCGAGGATGCACACTAGTGATATTGCATGCTTCCTCCTCATCTTACCGGGGGCCTATCACATTGACATTCAGTTTGATCACTTTCCTAAGGTGATGTTTACCAAATCTCTTCAAGGCAAGAATGCGTTTTCCCTCTGTGAAGAGCAAGCAGTACGCAAGTGGTCCTTTGAGTCTATGTGGATCACAAGTTCTCCAATAATCTTACACTGATGTTTTTACTGTCCATTGATGATCTCTGCCTGGATCAATACAGGCAGCCTGCAAAATCATGATTTTTCTCTAATTTTATTTTTCTTTCCAGTTATTGGCTGGTGGTGTTCTGTAAAGAATAGCAAGCTGTGCTAAGACAGGGCCTTCTTCAGTTTTGTTCACAGATTGCACACCAGGCAACTGCAACTACAGTAAACTCTTCACAGATATTTGAATTCCACAAATGAATCAATGTTGCCCATTTTTGTTTTCTTTTTTTTTTTTTTTTCATTTCTTATTAAGCAGTTTTGATCAGTTTTACAGGGAGAAGTGCTGAGGGAATACTTGAAAAACTGGATGAAAACCAATCTCTTGTACAAGCAAGTTATACTTTAGTCTGGGAAAACAAGCTGTTGATTTAGTTTATACTTAAAAAGCAAACAAGCAAACAAAGGGATAGATGAGCAGTTTAAAAGTGAAATAGTCACATCACTAAAACTGAAAACCACCATACCCCCTGCCTACCTCTTTTCAATATTGATTTTCCGGTCTTTAGATAAGATCACTTTCACCTATTTTAGCAGTTCCCTAGTATTTCTCCTCATAGTTTAATGTATTTATGTATTCTTATGTTACTAATTCCTATTTAATATTTTTTGGGTATTGTCTAGTGACTTCCTCATTTAGAAGATTAATATTTATCGCTCTTAAACTGTTTCCTTCCCTGCATTTCTTTTCTCCATAGCTCTATTCTCATCACCATAAGTATGTGAGAAGTTTTGGTTAAATCAACATTTATATGCACAGATGCGTCATGTAATATACTTTTTGTACAGCTTTTTATTTTCCTTGGAGATGATAACTGCCTGTGTTTTTTTCATTTGCTTAGTTTTCTTTGTATCATTAATCTATCTCCAAACTCTCCGCCAGCAGAATACATCTCCTTTCCGTAATTTCAAGCACATCTCGGTTTCTTTCTGTTTTTGTTTTTGAGACAGGCCTTCTGGAGCCCTTCACGGAGCTCCTGCAGCTGAGACTGCTCTCACGGCCAGCTGTGAAGCTGTTATCCCAGGGTCTCCCTTTCCCGCGATTCTTCCTCTTCCTCTTTGGTTCGTCCCTCTTCCTGTATCCCATGTCATCTTTCTTGACTACCTCACTCACTCTGATGAAATTCACACTCCCACAGCTTCCTGAGACATAACTGGGAGGTGAATAAGATGGGACCTTGCATATATGAAAAGGTCTTAGTCTAGCTTCCTATTGATTGACATGTGAACAGGATATAAAATTCTTAGTTGGAAATCATTCTCTTTCATAATTTCAAAGGAATGTCTTCATTTTCTGTTAGCTTACTGAGTTGCTTTGTGAAGCCTGTCTGTTTGTGAGGTGTGTGTATGTGTGTGTGTATGTGTGTATGTGTGTGTGTGTATGTGAGATGTGTGTGTGTGTGTGTGTATGTGAGATGTGTGTGTGTGTATGTGTGTGTGTGTGTTTTCCCCTCTCTGGTCTCAGGATTGAGTTGTTTTGTGAAGCCTGTCTTTTTGTGAGATGTGTGTGTGTGTGTGTGTGTATGTGTGTGTGTGTGTGTGTTTTACTCTCTCTGAATCGTCTCAGGATCTCATTTTTATACTCAGTGTTCTGGAATTTCACAGTGACCTCTCCCTGGTATTTTTAAATAAGTTCACTGGCCAGGCCACTCAGGAAATTTGTTGAATCTATAAACTCACGTCCTTGAGTTCTAGGGAATTCCCTTGAATTAGTTCTCTGTCTTTTCCTCTTCTACATTTATTTCTTTTCTCTCTTTCTGGATGTCTTATGATTAAGATTTTGGACCTTCCAGACTGATCTAAACTTTTCTTCTTTTCTCTCCTATTTTCTACTTCTTCAGCTTCACATTCTCTTTTTTTCTGGTACATTTTCTCAGCCTCTCTCCCAAAACTTCTATTGAATTTTTGGTTTTTGCTACGATAGCTTTAATTTGTTTTCTTTTGATTTCAAAAGTTCTTTTTCTATTGCTTCCTGTTCTTAATCATGAATGCAACATCTTCTGTTTTGTTTTTGCGCACTTTATTGACTTTGTAAAAATGACTTATTGTCTGTATTTGGCTGCCCTGGGCCGTCATTGCTGCACATGGGCTGCTCTCTCGTTGCAATGTGCAGGCTTCTCGCCACGGTGGCTCCTTTGCTGCGGAACACGGGTTCGAAGCCCCCAGGCCTCAGCAGTTGCAGCGGGAGGGCTCAGTGGTTGAGGGCTGTGGACTTGGCTGCCCCGTGGTGTGTGCGGTCTTTCTGGACCAGGGGTCAAACCCACGTGCCCGGCACTGGCGGGTGAGTTCCTACCTACCGCACCACCAGGGAAGTCCTCATGACTTCTAAAGGAAGTTTTCTCTTTCCTTCGTTGTCTTTCTTCCTCTAAGGGTACTTCATCTGCTTGGTTTGTTCTGTTCTTTCATGTTTCATGCTTTCATTACCTATCCACTGACCCTCACCTGCTCTTTCACAATTAGTAAGGCTCTGAGAGGATGACTGCAAACTCTGCATTGTGGGAGAGAGTTTTCAACCTACAATTAATATTTTTTAACTCTACAAATGGTAGACTCCTGGCATATCTGTTGGACACCTGAGTTGTTGGTAATGGAGAGGGAGAATCAGATAATAATATCCTTTTATTCCCTGTCTGAGCTTGAAACCAACTGAGGCACTCAGACGGGGAACAGAATGAGAGCTTTATTGCTGATAATGTGATTGGAGAAGTGGCTTTTGACATATCCCCTAATGAGAACAATTCACACCCCTTCTAACTAACACAGGAAATCTCAGGTCTCCTCTGAACAGGGAGAGCACGCCTGTAAATCTCACCGCACAGTGGAGAGTAAACCTGACCGTACTCGCTCAGAAGAATGTCTGAAAGATCTTTATGCTGATGCTCTGCTTGTTTCCATTCAGTCCTTGTGGGGCTCAAAAACTTATTTTGGTGAATTAGTCCCTGCTTTAATCTCCTTGGAATATTACATCAAGCTGTGCTTCTGTAGTTTAAGGCAGGATACAGTCCCCTACCCCCACCCCAAGGTTAAAATTTGAGCTTCCCACCCTTTTCAGAACAGAAGCAACAATCTCCAGATTTTATTTCAATCCACAAGGTCATCCCTTGTGCCCATGCCTCAATGTCCTTAGCTAAAGTACGAAGACATTAGAGTTTTGGAGTTCAATAAACATCTCTACCCAAATTTGGAACCAAATGACAAATAAGACATAGGAGACAAAAAAAATGAAGATTGAAGTGTCAATATTTTACTGATTAAGTTGATTGAAGAATGTGGATCTGAGGCCCCTTGGGTTAACTGGCATCATTGCCTGGGCAAATTAGTCAAATTTATTCAAGCAGGTCCTGAAACACAAGGGCAGCCACAGGCTCCACACAGTGACCAGCAGACCGGAGTGGGCCCTCTGTGTGAGCAGTGAGATCTGCCAGAAACCCCTGCTGCCCAGAGCAGAGCCGAGCACATCCAGCCCCTTCTCACAACCTTAGCAGTTCGCTCAGCCACCTCCCACTGGCAGCTCTCTTTCATGTGGAGGAGAACTCAAGGGAGCAGAGAGAAGCCGGAAGTGGCTGTTCAGTCTCTAAATCCTGTCTGACTCTTTGTAACCTCAGAGACGGAACACACCAGGCTCCTCTGCGCTTCGCTGTCTCCTGGAGCCTGCTCAGATTCATGCCATTGAGTCGGTGATGCCATCCAGCCATCTCATCCTCTGTCGTCCCCTTCTCCTGCCCTCAATCTTTCCCAGCATCAGGTCTTTTCCAATGAGTCAGCTCTTCACATCAGGTGACCAAAGTATTGGAATTTCAGCTTCAGCAATTTTCAGGGTTGATTACTTTTACAATTGACTGATTAGATCTCCTTGAAGTCCAAGGGACTCTCAAGAGTCTTCTCCAGCACCACAATTTGGAAGCATCAGCATTCTTTATGGTCCAATTCTCACATCTGTACATGACTGTTGGAAAAACCATAGCTTTGATTATATGGACCTTTGTCAGCAAAATGGTGTCTCTGCTTTTTAATACACTGTGTAGGTTTGTTATAAAAAAAACTCTCAACATTCAAAAAACTAAGATCATGGCATCGGGTCTATCACTTCATGGCAAATAGATGGGGAAACAGTGGAAACAGTGACAGACTTTATTTTTTTGGGCTCCAAAATCACTGCAGATGGTGACTGCAGCCATGAAATTAAAAGACAACTTGCTCCTTAGAAGAAAAGCTATGACCAACCTAGACTGTATATTAAAAAGCAGAGACATTACTTTGCCAACAAAGGTCCATCTAGTCAAAGTATGGTTTTTCCAGTAGTCATGTATGGATGTGAGAGTTGGACCATAAAGAAAGCTGAGCACCGAAGAATTGATGCTTTTGAGCTGTGGTGTTAGAGAAGACTCTTGAGAGTCCCTTGGACTGCAAGGAGATCCAACCAGTCCATCTGAAAGGAAATCAGTCCTGGGTGTTCATTGGAAGGACTGACGCTGAAGCTGAAACTCCAATACTTTGGCCACCTGATGACTGACTCACTGGAAAAGACCCTGATTCTGGGAAAGATTAAAGGCAGGAGGAGAAGGGATGACAGAGGATGAGATGGTTGGATGGCATCACCAACTCGATGGACATGAGTTTGAGTAAGCTCCAGGAGTTGGTGAACAGGGAAGCCTGGCGTGCTACAGTCCATGGAGTTGCAAAGAGTTGGACATGACTGAACAACTGATCTGAACTGAGGTTTGTCATAACTTTCCTACAAAAGAGCAAGTGTCTTTTAATCTCATGGCTACAGTCACCATCCACAGTGATTTTAGAGCCCAAGAAAATAAAATCGGTCACTGTTTCCACTTCTTCCCCATCTATTTGCCATAAAATGAGGGATTGGATGCCATTATCTTAATTTTTTTAATGTTGAGTTTCAAGCCAACTTTTCCACTCTCCTCTTTTACCTGCATTGAGGGGCTCTTTAGTTCCTCTTTACTTTCTGGCATTAGAGTGGTATCATCTGTCTGTCTGAGGTTGTTGATATTTCTCCTGGAAATCTTGGTTCCAGCTTGTAGTTCATCCAGCCTGGCATTTCACATGATGTGCTCTACATATAGGGAAAATAAGCGAGGTGACAATATACAGCCTTGTCATACTCCTTTCCCAAGTTTAAACCAGTTTGTTGTTCTATGTCTGGTTCTAACTGTTGCTTTTTGACTTGCATACATATTTCTCAGGAGACAAATAAGGTGGTCTGGTACTCCCAGAATACCAGAGGGAGAAGAGGGAAGCCAGAAGTATTCTCCCATACTTCCCGTCTGGGGTGTGGTATGGAAATACTCTTACCTGTGGGAGACGTGAGGAGTAAAGAATAAGCATTTACTCTGAACACAAATCTTGAGTTTTCCCAAATGAAATTATGTATGGTCTACGGCCATACTACCCTGAACGCGCCCGATCTCGTCTGATCTCGGAAGCTAAGCAGGGTCGGGCCTGGTTAGTACTTGGATGGGAAATTATGTATGGAAACCATATAATTTCATCTCCAAACTGGGACATGTCTGGTGATTGTCTGGGACCCCATCAATAATTATTCCAGGAAAGTGAGCATAAACTGGGCTTCCCCAGTGGCTCAGTGGTCAGGAATCCCCCTGCAACGCAGGAGACACAGGAGATGTGGTTTCCATCCCTGGGTGGGGAAGGTCCCCTGGAGGAGGGCATGGCAACCCAGTCCAGTCTTCTTACCTGGAGAATCCCATGGACAGAGGAGCCTGGTGGGCTATGGTCTGCTGCTGCTGCTAAGTCGCTTAGTCGTGTCTGACTCTGTGCGACCCCATAGACGGCAGCCCACCAGGCTCCCCCGTCCCTGGTATTCTCCAAGCAAGAACATTGGAGTGGGTTGTCATTTCCTTCTCCAATGCATGAAAGGAAAAGTGAAAGTGAAGTTGCTCAGTCGTGTCCGACTCTTAGCGTCCCCACGGACTGCAGCCCACCAGGCTCCTCCGTCCATGGGGATTTTCCAGGCGAGAGTACTGGAGTGGGGTGCCATTGCCTTCTCTGGGGCTATGGTCTATAGGCTCGCAAAGAGTCGGACACGACTGGAGTGACTGAGCATGCACATAAGCATAAACTAGAATCACCCAAGGCCACCCGGAGGAAAAGCGGCCTCATTTAGAGTGAACATGGGGATTCTCAGGGGATCTCTTCTCTCTGGACTGACAGTCTCCCATGTCCTCAAGTAGTTGCTAGTGGATAGTCACTCTCCCCCAACCCTCTCCCTGAAACTTGCGCGGCCCGCAGGATTTTAGCTCCCTGACCAGGGATTGTACAGTGTCTCCTGCAGGGGAAACCCAGAATCCTAACCACTGGATCATCCAGAAATTCCATGGATAGTCACACTTCTGTGGCCTTTTCGTCTATATATTCCATAGTCATCTCATAAAGAGGACAGAAAGAGAAAAAAAGTAAAATGTGTTCCAGTCATTTCAATTTAAAAATAAATGTTTGTTGAGTGAATAAGTATGTAAAATAAATTTTTGAAACGTACTTGACAAAATTCTTTTCTGTGGAGGTAGAGTCTCTATTAACTGAAGGGAAATAACAAATGAAACATAGGAAGAGAGAAGGAGAATGCTCACTGAGAAAGTGTGATCCTGTCTCTCATAAAAAGTCATGCTCATCTACCCAGGAAGTCACCAAGAGCCTATTTTCGGATGTTTAAAGAGAAACAGTCTCCAGAAGGTTATTCACTATTAATATGCTTTACAGTTGGGGGAGATTTTTATTTTCATTTTTCATTTCCTGTTTCTTATCTTATGTTCTCAGATTGAGGCCATTCCTTGGCCAGAAGAGCATGTCTTAGCGCAATCTGCCTCCTGCCATTTATCAAAATGTTGTCTTGACTCTTTTCAGTTAATCAAAACCAGGAGGTAAAATTTCAGAAAAAGACTGAACTGTGTTTCTCACATCAAGAGTAGTGACTGTGTGTGATCAGAGGTGGTATTGGTATTAATACAGAAAGAAAAGCTTGGACTTTGGTCAGTGGTATTCGAGTTAAGGACTTTTAAAAGGATGCCAATGTAGATATCAACTTATACTCTTGAAAATATAATATGATACAATACACTTATGCCAGGATTGTTGATAACAATAACAAAGTTGATCAACTTCAACCCCAAACAACTGTTTTAGTATTGAATTTGTTTTGTTTTTCACTGAATAGGAGGAGGTGAATTTAAGGTTTCCATTTGTGGTTTTCAAAAGAGAAAGCAATTTGGCAGGGAAAGTTTCTCACTAAGGGCAAATAAATCATGC